CCTAATGACCTTGTCCCGTGGCCCCATTATCTCTTTGACTGCAACAACTACCTCTCTTCTCCTTGCTGCTTCTCTTCTAGTTATAAAGCCCCCCTAACTGTCTCTTGGACACTCTGAGTACATCCCCAGCTCAAGGCTTCTGCATGTCTGATTTGTGGTCTGAGATTTATACCAGGACATGAACATTTTTTTTTTTTTTTAGTTTCAAAAATTTAGATCTAGGATCTAACTCCAGAAATGGGTGGAGGAGGGGCAGGGGGAAACTCTCAGCAGCTGTAAAGAGCATAATAAGTAAACAAATAATAGCCAAGTTGATATATGGAATAATGTTTTCTGCGTCATCCCAACCTTTTTGAATGTGTATGCATAATCTGAAGCATCTCCAGAGGTTTCTGCCATTTTTAAGGAGTCATGTTATCAGAGAATACAAACAACTCAATTGTGTGTGTGTGTGTGTGTGTGTGTGTTTTTACCATATTCTCCAATGATTTGAAGTGCAGAAATGAGTGAGAGGCAATAGTTATTATTTTTGTTTGCTTTGCTCCATTTATTTTTTTTTAGGGTGGGGTAAAGAAGGAGATAAAGAAGTTTCATTTTTGCTTCAAAGAGCTTTCCCAGAGTGGTGATTCATTTCCATTCTAAATGATTATAATAAACACAGTTCTCTTGGCTTTCATAATAGTGTGAATTTAAGGTCATATGTGTAACATGGGTTTTCCTGAAATCCAGTTATTTATTTATATATGGGGGGTCCCTTGTGTTCATATTCTCATATGAAAGGTATTAGCACTATAGTTTCAATAGCAAAATTTTTAAAATATTAAATACATCTTGTGTTTGATTTGGGTCTGGGCTAATTTCTAAAGAATCATTTAGCAATGCTGGTCTGATACTAAATACCCTGTGAAGCTGCAATTAATTGAGGGGCTGCTGGTTCTAAGAACTAGGCAACTGACAAGAGGATGGGAGGAAAATTATAAGTCTGGATGCCAAGTTCTGAACAAATAATCTCCTTTTCACTTTTGCACTCTCTATAAGTAAAGTAGATATGTTAAATGAAAAGTACATATAGAACTGGGACAATATATGTGTGTGTGTGTGTATATATATATATATTTAATATTTTATTGATTTTCCGCAGAGAAGAAGGGAGAGAAATAGAGAGCCAGAAACATCGATGAGAGAGATCAATCAGCTGCCTCCTGCACGCCCCCCACTGGGGACGTGCCTGCAACCAAGGTACATGCCCCTGACCAGAATCGAACCTGGGACCCTTCAGTCCACAGGCCGACGCTCTATCCACTGAGCCAAACCGGTTTGGCACAATATATTTTTTTGTTTTGTTAAATTTGCCACTTATCCTAATTCAATAAGATGCTTGTAAGATAGACTAGTGACCTCTCTGGCTAACAATTGGATTTCTCTACTTTCTTTTATAACATAAAATCCATCTTTCTACATTATTATTTTATGCTAATCAGAATCTTTGAAAGTCATGTGTACCTTAATAGAAATATAAAAATTAACTAGAAAATTTTTTGGTGAATACAGTTTATTTGATGGACAAACATTTTTAAAGGTGGTAAGAAGGAGTGAGCTACTGGTCTATACCCTGTCAGAAAGCACAAGTCTCCTCTTCAGTCTCCTTGTGGCTGACTTCATCTCCTGGGTCCTCAAAGTGTAAATCAAGGGGTTCAGCAGAGGGGAGATGACAGTGAAGGTGACAGCAATCGCCTTATCTGTGGGGAGGGCAGTGAAGGGCCGGGCGTAGACATAGATGCAGGGCACAAAATGCAGAGTCACCACAGTGATGTGGGCTGTGCAGGTGGAGATGGCTTTCCTCCTGCCCTCCCCTGCCTGAGACCTTACTGTACTACTAATCATATGACCATATAGGACACAGGAGAAAGAAGAACCACAGTGTGGTTAGCAGTCCATTATTGGAAGTCAGCTGCTCAAGCATAAAAGTGTCTGTATATGCGAGGTTGAGGACCTGGGGGACATCGCAGTAGAAAATATCAAGAATATTGGGTCCACAGAAGGGGAGCGGGAGCAACAGGGAAATCTGGACGATGGAGTGGACAAAGCCCCAGCCCAGGAGGCTGCAATGAGGGCAGTGCAATGCCCCATCCTCATGAGGATCACATAGTGCAGGGGCTTGGAGATGGCCACATACCCATCTAATGCCATTACCAACAAAGAAAATACATCCACCCCTCAACAAGGTGGAAGAAAAACATCTGGGTCAAGCAGACACTGAAGGCAATGGTCTTCCTCTTTTAACAGAAGGTCCACCAGAACCTTGGGAGCTGTGATGGAGGAGAAGCAGATATCGGCGATAGACAAATTACAGAGCAAAAAGTACATGGGGGTCTGAAGGAGAGACTCACAGGTCACGGTTACCATGATGAGGAGGTTTCCCAGCAAAGTTGTCATATACACCTAAAGTAGGAAAATAAATCAGACCCAACTCAGTTCTTGATTCTGGATGGGGCCAAAGAAAATAAATTCTTTTACCCTTGTGCCACTTTTCGGCTCCATGGAGTCATCTTCTTTTTCTCTCTTTTGTTTCAAGCTACTTCATATGAAAAAGTACTTGTCTACTTATTTGGTTTTCTTCCTAAGCACCAAGAATGCAATTCAGAAAGCTGCCTACATTGCTGTGCTATTTGTGATTTTTTGAGTTGCCCAAATTTCCAAGATTGCAATCAGCTTGGTGATCAAGAAAAATGATCACACGCAAAGTCATTCAATAATTATTTTTCTATAAAACTGCTTTTAGAGAGGATAAGCTTTTATGTTAAGTAGTGACATTTCCATAGCCTATTTTAATGAACTGATTTTAATTTTAAAATTTTATTATTATTTTTCCACATATATTTATTAAATGTCAGGAATCGTCTGAAGCATTAAATACAAAAATAAGTAAGACATGGTTCCAGCCATTGTAGACTTATAATCTATAAGTTTAATACTTATATTAGCAAATATTTTGTTGACTTCAACAGTGTTTTTTTGTGTGAAAAAAAAGATACCATTCTGTTTCCTGTTGCAATATTGCTGTGGTGTGAATCAGTTTCCTTGCTTTTGGATGTTTAATGTTGAATTTCTTAAAATTATAGCCTCTAATTCTGTGTAACTGGTCATTATGATTACCCTATACTAATTAGATGTTTTTGCTTAATTACTTTAAAATGTTTATAATTTGCTATTGGGAAACAGATAGAAACAACGTGTAAATCCAAATCTCAAAGTATATCAATAATTTTTTTAATATTATGATTGAAACACTTAAACATGAAAGTTACCCTCATATCAGATTTTAAGTGCATGACACCACATTGTTAACTACAGCCACTGTGTTGTACAGCAGACCTATAAAATTTACCTCTCTTGTATAACTGATGAGGTCCTTGCTTGAGTGTGGAGGAGGGAATAAAGATAGTAACCCACTTCTGAGAGGTGGTCCATACTATGTCAATCATGCTCTCCTCTTCCTCTTTCCCTTTGTGAGTCAAAGACAAGAGAATGAAGGGATCACACAGCAGGGAGAGACACTGGTATCATTAGAATAATGCCTATTTAAAAATACATATTTTTTTTATTGGTTTCAGATAGGAAGGGAGAGGGAGAGAGATAGAAACATCAATGATGAGAGACAATCATTGATTGGCTGCCTCCTACATGCCCCATACTGGGGATAAAGCTCAAAACCCGAGCATGTGCCCTGACTGGGAACTGAACTGTGACCTCTTGGTACATGGGTCAATGCTCAACCACTGAGAACACCGGCCAGGCAACAAGAGAACATTTATAGCAACTTCCAAATGTCTATGGATAAATTGGACCCCATTGTCAAAGTGCTTATAGCTGATCAAAAGTGGATGATTTGAAGAAAAAAAAAAGTGAATGATTTGTGTAAATTGATGAACATTATGCATGGCAAAATGTGAAATGTGTCATGAGAGAAGGAGAGGTAGATTTTGGTGGGATAGGAGTTGTGACAGGAAATATGATTTCCAGCAGTAACAAAAGCTATTATTTAAAAAAAAGTTTTTTTATTGATTTCAGAGAGAAAGGAAGAGAGAGATAGAAACATTAATAATGAAAGAGAATCATCAATCATCTGCTGCCTGCATGCCTCCTTGAGCTGCAATCTGGGCATGTGTAGTTGTCCAGAATCAAACCTGGGACCCTGTAGTCTTCAGGCCAACACTCTATCCACTGAGCCAAACCAGCTAGGGCTTGCTAGTCCTCTTACCATAAGGCTAGCAGCTTGAGAAAACCAAATCAGTTAGATTTCCAGTCTCAGTTTGACTGCTCGTCCCAGTTTACTGCTCTCAGAAGGTCCAAGTCTCCTCTTCAGTCTCTTCATGGATGACTTCATTTCCTGGTTTCTCAGGGTGTAGATCATGGGGTTCAGCATGGGAGTGATGACCGTGTTATTGATGGACACGACTGTGTCCATGGGCAACGTAGTGAAGGGCCGGCAGTAGATGTAAACAGAAGGCACAAAGTGAAGAGTCACCACCAGGATGTGGGAGGTGCAGGTGGAAAGGGCCTTTTTCCAGCCTTCTCCAGAGTGAGATCGGAGCATCACCAGAATGACGGTATAGGACCCCAGGAGCAGGAGGAACCACAACAGCGTCACCAGCCCATTGTTAGAGATCATGAGAAGCTCCAGAGCAAAGGTGTCAGTGCAGGCCAGTTTAACCACCTGGGGCACATCACAGTAGAAGGCATCCAGGGTGTTGGGGCCACAGAAGGGGAGTGGAAGCATCAGAATTATCTGGACAATTGAGTGCAAACCACCACCCACCCAGGAAGCCACCACTAAGGCCACCCACACCTCTCTTCTCATAATGGTCACATAATGCAAGGGTTTGGCGATTGCAAGGTACCTGTCATAGGCCATCACAGAGAGGAAAAAAATATCTGCCCCACCAGTAAAGTGGAAGAAAAAGATCTGTGCCATGCAGCCATTGTAAGAGATGGTTTTCCTCTCTGACAAAAGATCTACCAGCAACTTGGGAACGGTGACTGATGAAAACACAATGTCTAGGACTGATTTGTTCCTTAGGAGAAGGTACATGGGAGTGTGCAGGTGGGAGTCACAGGTGATGGTCACCACAATGAGGGCATTGCCCAGCACAGTTGTCACATACACAGCAAGGAAGAACACAAACAAGAAAAACTCCAGTTCCCGGAAGCGAGTGAATTCTAGGAAGACAAATTCCCTCACAGTGGTGTGGTTACTCTGGCCCATGATGGGGATCACCTTCTTCCAGGTCTACGTTGGGAGAAGACATGTTAGGATTAGGAGTATGGTATCATGAGGTGGCAACATCACTTATCATATATTGTTATAAGGCTCTTTTAAGCATCCAAATAATTGTTACTACTCAGAAAATGGTCTGGAAAGTCTTTATCCTGATGGTTCTTCTTTCCTACTGTAAGTACCCCGTGTTTACAGGAAGAACCATCACACTTCTATGTCCTTACTCTAACCAGAGGGAGATGAGAGGACAGTGGTCACTTGACTCTGGCTTATCTTATGTCCTGCAAGAGTAACTTCCTCACATGTATGCAAAGCTTTCTATTTTACTGCAACATTTCATCTTTATTTTGATTCTTATAATGTCTGTGGCATCTATAAAGTGGTTATGGGGAAATGGAGCTTACAGCCTAATATTTTACATGAGAGGCTGGAGATTTTAATCAGCCAAAGCCTTTTAGTTCTGATTGACATACATATCAATAATCGCACATGGATATTTTACCTTTCAGAGGCTGAAGACTGAACACTATAGATCAGTGATGGCGAACCTATGACACGCGTGTCAGAGGTGACACGCGAACTCATTTTTTTGGTTGATTTTTCTTTGTTAAATGGCATTTAAATATATACAATAAATATCAAAAATATAAGTCTTTGTTTTACTATGGTTGCAAATATCAAAAAATTTCTATACGTGACACGGCACCAGAGTTAAGTTAGGGTTTTTCAAAATGCTGACATGCCGAGCTCAAAAGGTTTGCCATCACTGCTATAGATATTAGAAAATTATATGTGTGCTAAGCTAAAGTTGCCTGCAATTGTGTCTTCAGGATGCCTTTACTTACCTTTAGGTTAGAAAGTGAGCCTGCAGTGTTTCCCCATCTTCATGGCTCTGTTCGTCTTCACCCAAACACGTGCACTGTCCGCTGCTCACTTAGACACTGAACTGGAAGTCTAAGAATATAATAAGCAGCATGGGGAATAGTGTCAGATATTTGTAGGAAAAATAATTTCCAAAGAGGAATAATGCAGTTGCTGATGCCATGGGAGTTATTAAAAGTTGCTAAGCAACATGTGTGAATATTGGGATTTCCCCATCTATCATTCTGCTATTGCTTTCTATTCCACTGTGGTCTGAGAGCATACTTTGTGTGATTTGTGAAAGTGTGTTTTTTGGCCCAGAATGTGGTCCCTCTTAGTGAATGTTCCATGTGAGCTTGAGAAGAATGTGTATTTTACTGTTTTTGGAGAAAAGTAATTTATAAATATCAATTAGGTCCAGTTGATCATTGCTGCTGTTCAACGCAATGCATCCTTCCTGATTTTCTGCCTATTGGATCTGCCGATTACTGATTGAGGGGATCAAAGTCTCCAACTATAATAGTGATTTGTCTATTTCTCCTTGTATTTCTATCAGTTTCTGCCTTGCTTATTTTGACACTGTTCTTAAGTGCACACATATTAAGGATTATTATGTAATCTCGGAGAATTGACCCTTTTATTATTATCATTACAAAGACCCTCCGTTTATCTCTGATCATTTTCTATGTCTGCTTTATCTCAAATTAACATATCTACTCCAGCTTTCTTTTGGTTTTTCTTTCTCCATTTTGTTACTTTTAATCTCTGTGTATTTTTATATTTAGAGTGGGTTTCTTGTTCTATAACGAGACCCAACATATAGTTGGGTCTTTAACAAAAACCCCACTTTGTAGTCCCTGTCTTTTAATTGGTGTGTTTAGATTATTTGCATCATCAGGAGGCTTGAAAAGTCAACCAAGGGACTCTATTTCATCATTCTTTTATTTTGTCCTTAAAAATTCAGTTTAGAGAATAACCTTGAGAAGAACATTCAGAATTTAAGGGTAAGCTTTCTTAGCACCATAAATTCAATTTTCTACTAGATAAGTTGACACCAGAAGAAAAGGAACAGGGATTTGCTATCCTGAATGTTACTTTAGAAACATATCAGAATGATTTATCACCAGGGATTTTGACATAATTGAAATCCCTGAACTGTTATTGTGAAAAGTATAGAGATTTCCTGAATTTAGAAGAGGGGATTCTCTCCTTGAGACATAAATTACAGGAATTACATATATGTATGTAATTTAATTTCTGCAGCTATTTTGCAAAACAAATATGAAAATTAAATGTCAATCAATTTTAAATGACTAGTGTCCTTTTGGTAGATTTAGAGAACGAGGATGGGAGAGCATAAGTGACTTCCATAAATTGTCAGAATCAGCAACTTCTGGATCTGGGATTAGAACCTTGATCATCTGAATGGCATCAAATAGCAACTGTAAATTATCTGGCACAATACTTCATGAACTGCAGGCACTCGGTCAATGTGACTTTCTCTGTAAATGCATAAATGTGTATCAATGTTAGCAGCCACACTGTGAGGGTCCTGAAGTTTTCTGTGAGGGCACCTTCTTCTGCTCAGGAACTTGTCCTCAACGTTCCCTTCTCCCTTAAGCTTCTGGCTTTTTTTCTAGATCCGTACTGTTCAAATGACTATGAAACTTAAAAAATAACCTCTTTTAAAAGGGAATGTTTGGTATTTTAAAAGGGGACCAGCCTTAAACTAATAGATGAGTGTCAGATGGTAGAATCCCAGGCAGCAGCATAAAAATAAGGGAAAATTTGAAGGTTACGGACCTCCCTTATGCCTAGAATATATGGCACTTCCTGTTTCTTTGGATAGGAGTTAAGAGCAAGCAACCTCCTCAGGAACTTGTTGTTGTTGTTCTAATTTCTCTTCCTGGGAGCAACATTTCTAAGATTGGTTAGGATGCCCATCAGAGGAGCAGAAGAGAAAGGGAAGAATTTGGGTTAAGTTTATAGAAAGGCAGAAAGACTAGAGTAATGCATGAAGAAGAAACGCTATAAAAAAGTTCCTGTCACCTGGCTGAGTGTGATTTCCCAAGGCTCTTAAGGAAGACTGGACGGTACAAACATAGAGAAAATGCCGGCCGACTGTCTTCCCTCTCTCTTTCTCTATCTCTGCAGTTTGTTCTCGACTGTATTTTTTTAAGTTATTCTGCTTTGGATACAGTCTAATCAGGCACATGTAGCCCCTTTCAGTCTTCAAGTTGCTGTCTAATGAGACGGAGAGAATAAACTGCAAGTGTGTATTTGTGAGTAGAAGACACTTGAAACGAGGAGGTAAAAGGAGATTGGAGACAGTGTAACCTCTAAGAAACTCATTTCTAGCGCCTGTTGGAATCTGTTGCTTTGGACAGTAGAGAAGGCACTTTCTTTTTTTTTTTAAGTTAGGTTTTTTTTTTTGTTTTTAAATTTTGTTTTATTGCTTAAAGTATTACAAAGAGTATTACATATGTCTCTTTTTGAGAAGGCACTTTCAAAGTCCATGGTTAGCAGTGCATTTGGAGAGTTGGTTCTCTATAGCCCTGTCATCGAGGAATTACTTCCTCAAGTGTTTGTGAAGTAAGGATTTAAAAAATCCAAAATCCCCAGCTTTCCAAGCTAATCACTCTATGGCAGCGGTTCTCAACCTGTGGGTCGCGACCCCTTTGGGGGTCGAACGACCCTTTCACAGGGGTTGCCTAAGACCATCGGAAAACACATATATAATTACATATTGTTTTTGTGATTAATCACTATGCTTTCATTATGTTCAATTTGTAACAATGAAATTGGGGGTCACCACAACATGAGGAACTGTATTAAAGGGTCGCGGCATTAGGAAAGTTGAGAACCACTGCTCTATGGGGTGTAAAGGACACACCCTCCTCATTTAAATTTTCCAGAGGCAGATAATCCACAGTGGTCAGACCCTGAGATTCCCCAGGGTTGATTCAGTTCAGCATTTTCCTTTGTGGTCTGTGAGGGTCTGTAATACACAGCACAGGATAAACACTCGAACATCTTAAATTCTGCCCTCTTCACCTCCAAATAACCCATCCAAAGAGAGAGACTCATAATTATTGAGTTTCTATTATCTGCCGAGTGTATGCTGGGCATTTTGCATAGATTAACATATTAAATCCTCCAAATGACCCATTTACAGAGGATTTGTGAGTCACTAACATGCATAACTCAGAGGGACACTTTGTACCACAGTCCTCACCTCATGAGCCCACACCCTCTTCACACCACACCTTGCAACTTTTCCTTCAGGGGAAGGAGCACAAAGTATACAGCTTTTCCTAGAATATTTTGGTTTTGTTTTATTAAAAACTAGAGGCCTGTTGCACGAAGAGATTCATGCAATAGGCCTTCCTTTCCCCTGGCTGCTGGCACCGGTTTGCCTCTGGCACCCGGGGCCCAGGCCTTCGCTCTGGCCGAGTTCTGGCCGGAGCCAGCCCCGGAAATGTCAGGCTTCGCTGCTCTGCCGGCCCTGGGCCGTCAGGCTTTGCTCCACCGCTTGGAGCCTACGTATGCAAATTAACCTCCATCTTTGTTGGTGGTTAATTTGCATATCATGCTGATTAGCCAATGGGAGGCGTATCGAAGGTACGGTCAATTACCATGTTTGTCTATTATTAGATAGGATAGGACTAGAGGCCAGGTGCATGAAATTCATGCACTGGGTGGGGGGCCCTCAGCCCAGCCTGTGCCCTCTTGCAGTCTGGGACCCTTCACTCCTTACCACCCATCTGCCATGGAGGCGGGAGAGGCTCCTACCACCGCTGCTGTACTCACCAGCCAGCCGTGAGCCTGGCTTCTGGCTGAGCAGTGCTTCTCTGTGGGAGTGCACTGACCAATCGGGGGGGGGGGAACAGCTCCTGCATTGAGCATCTGACCCCTGGTGGTCAGTGCGCGTCATAGCTACCGGTCATTCTGCCAGTTCTGTTGTTCAGTCGATTTGCATATTAGGGTTTTATTATATAGGATGTACAGGTATGTAGCACTATTTAGGACAGGAGTGGAGAATATGTTTTCTATGGAGTAACCATATGTGTATAAAAATCAAGAGAGGATGGTAGACTTATAAAACATACCATTAATATTTTATATATAAATAGTAATTGAATCT